AAAATAAAGCTTCTAAGTTTCAAAAATTTAATACTTTGCGCTGGTCGTAAAGAAATGATTGAAAAGAGGTCATGAAAAAAATTTAAATCAAGTCAAAAAAGTTGCCAAAGAAATTGTAAAATTGAAAGCTTTTAAAATCAAAATTTAATTGTAATTTCATATTAACCATTTATGAATAAAAAGTCATCAAAATATTTACATGAAAAAAAAAATTGAAATTCAAATTAAATTAATTCATTGTTTACCTATAAAAAATTGAGATACATATTGCAGAATATTTGAATGTTATTTATTGTATCATAAGATGGAGAAAAAAAATTATTTATGGTGAATAAAATGCGAAAAAAATTTTATTTGTGATATTTAATCAAAAAGATTTTTTAATTCTTTCAAGTCTGGATTTTTCTCTCAACAGAACCTTAAATCTTACAGCTAGTCCATAAAATTAATTAAAATATTTTTTTTTGATCTTTTTTTAAATGCATGAAATAATTTCAACTAAACATAAATTTCCAGCATATGGTTTGAGTTATTATGAAGGAAAAAAATTCGAATTAAAGAAGAAAAATTAATTGTATTATAAAGACGTGAGGTTTTTGAAATCATTTTGAACTCATGCAGCTACTTTGTGGTAAGTCTAGTCAATGTGAAGAATTTTGAAGCTTTAAATTCATTTTCCAGCTGTTTCAACAACAAGCAGCCTAGAAAATCTGCAGTTATTTTTTTCTGGTGGGATTCGAACTCAAGTCTTCGTCAAAGGAAGTTACAGTTTTTCGGCATGTTCCTTAACCACTCGTCCAAATAGAATCTTACTCTTGCATTGGCTTATTTGCTTACTATATCCCGTAAAGCACAAGTTATTGTTGAAATCTGGCGCAAAGCTGGCATGACTCTTGAATGATGCTGGTTTCGATTTAAATCCAGCACCACGAAAGTGTCACACCGACTCGAATGACATGAAATGATCAAAAATGATCAAAATATAATTTGTCAGTTCCGGACTCTTGTTTGGTGCCGTATTTATGAACGAATAACCGACTTGTGTCATTAGGGTATGATTCAATACCCAAGATTCCATTTTCAGTTCCTACACACTTTCCAGAGCACCAGATCAGCTTACTTCAAACAATCGATTAGGAAAGAAACTCCAAAGTAATAAAATTACTTCTCAACTTTTCCACCCCTAAGGTAAACACTGCAAAATTCAGTGAACGATTATCTAAAGTTCAAATTGTTAAAGTTTCACAAGTACTTGAGTTTGTTCTGAACAGGAAGCAATCGTTCAAAAATAGCAATTTTACAATTTTTCCCCGAATCGAAATTCAATTTTATTCTAGGAACATCTTCATAGCAGCACTCAAAGTCCTCATTATTTATCTCAATTAGGTTCGGATGCTTTTAAATTCGATTGGTAAAAATTGATATTTGAATTGTGTGTTTATAGCACATAAAAAAAATTGAATTGTTGCTTGTTGAAAAAAAAAATGAATAAAAAAGCAATCAAATCGAAAAGTTTGCCTGCACGTGTAGTCACAGAATTATGAGTATTTGAATAGCTTAGTGACTTTGTTTGTAGCCATAAAAGTGCAATGTTATGGATGTTTTATTAGGCAATCGGGGTCATTCAGAAATGATGTATATTTAAAACATTGAAATCCTCAATTACTCTGAGGTTTGAAACCAAATTCAAAAAATGAGATTTTTAGACCCCCCTCCCCCCTCTGTCACAAAATTTTCATACAAAAAAAATGTTTTGTATTGAGGTGTCACACATCTTCCCCCCCCCCCCCTAAATGTTGGATGTCATAAGTGAACAACCCCTTAGACTAAATTCCCCAAAATCCATGAATATGCGTCCAATTCTCATTAACATTCCATGATCCAAAGTCTTCTTATATTTGAAACTTTATGTACAGCACTCAACTGGAACTAAAAGAATCTTGAACATTTTCGATAAATCAGAAGTTAATTCAACAACTTTAAGTGGCAGTCAAGTTAAGTAATTTTTTCAGTCCTTTCTCATTTTATTATTATGCGAGGAACGTAAAGGAACAAAAATTCAACGGATGCATGAAATTTTTTTTGGATGGAATAATGGAATATGAATTAAAATGATTGTTGAAAGCTTCAGAATTCTCATAAATGATGGAATAAGAATGAGGAACAAATCTATGACGTCTTGTTTGAATTTGAGCTAATAAATTCATCTTGCTGAACAATGCGTCGAATATTTACATGAATGTGGGTTTTTATTAGCATTCAAAAAGCGCAGTTGTCGTCAAATGCTGATGAGGATCTAATGGAACGTAGTTAAGAATTGGTAAAAATATCTACGGACCTTAGAAACATGTTTTGCATGTTTTAAGTCATTTAATTTAATATTAGAATCCTTTATCTCTGAAGATTTTAACTCAGATCGCTTAACCAGGATGACCAGTAGCGATATATTTAAGCGATCGTCCGAAAATTATGTCACACCAAAAAATTAATTTTTTATCTCCCCTTTCACATTTGTCACAAAATTTGAACCCTTTAGGGTTGTTCATAAACTATGTCCAACTTTTTAAAGATAGGTGACAGCTTGACTTTGTGCGAAAATTGCGACAGTTGGGATTATAGTGGGGAGGGGGGTTCGGTTGTTTAAGATAACATTTTTTATTGATGTCATTTATGAAATTCCATTCGAAAAATGCAAATAAAAACTTATTTGGGATCGTTCACTTTTTACGTCCGAAATTAACGGTCATTTTCAAAAAAGAACAATGGATTTCCAGGAATTTTTATTGTTCTTCTTGCTGACTCCCCCTAGACGTCATAAGTGAACGGCCCCTCTTTTCTTTGGATTCCAGAAAATCATACAAAGTAAAGATGTCACACGTTCATCATCAAACATCTTCAAGGCATAAATAAGATAGATTTTCAAAAATACTCACCTTATTTGATCTGTAAAAAATTGAATGAATCGAATACGAAAGCTAGAAATATTTGAAATCCTATAAAGTATCTGTAAAGCTGACTTACAAATAAATGCCAATATAATCATTTTCGGAGAATTTCTACTTCTTTTCTATTCTTTCCATTTAGCAACAAATTTCAACAGAATTTGTGTGACACGAAAAAGCTCACATGAAAGGATTACTTGTATCCAGGAAACGGATTTATAATACATTGAAAAGTATTAAAAAGGATTTAATCTTGAAAGAAGTTCCAGTTGTTGAGCATCCTGTTGCAATGTATATATTCACTTTGATGATGCTCTTGAATGCTCTTTTAATTCAAAATGCTTTTCTATGCAAATCAGTGCTACATCCTTGAACTATTTTTTAACTTCTCATTGAATTTTAATACAATGCATTTAGCCTTAAGTTGGGAGACTTGTTTTCGTGTGTCATTTACATACAATTGTGGATTATTTCTTCTATTGTTGGATATTTAGCGGATTATTTGGAATTTTGCTTTATAGGCACTCTTTTAAAATCAGTTTGGTTGTTCTTGACTAATGTAGGTACAATTAGCATGTCCAACGACTTGAATGTAATTTTCTCGGTCATGCCTCACTATAGAACATCAAATGGAACATAAATGGTGCCAAAAGTAAGTTTTAATGTAAAAAGCATTCTACGGATAGAAACAACGCTTTAGAGCATCAAAAAAATACATTTTTCCTAGTTTTCTTTTTTCTATAGCAGGACTTCTCAACTCATGCTCCTTGACACTTTGAACTTTAATTGTGTTCCATAATGTATGGCGATATACAAAGTTTATACCAGAAAAGCGGTTAACAATATCGGCTGATGAAAAGTTTGAGAACAACAGCTTTGTTGGCATAAGCATGTGGGTGGTGGATAAAGGAAGAGAATTCCAATTTTATGCGGACAAAAGACACACGATTTTCTATTCAAATTGTCTATTTTCTACTTTTTCTTTAATAAACTTTAAGTACAATTAATTTGCTGTTGCCGAAAAAAAAAATCTTTTCCTCTTAGCCGTGGATGAATGAATGAATAGCTTCAGCTCAATTGTTACACAATCCCACGCTTATGCACTAATTGTCCTTAAATGATATGGAAAAGAATGGTACACAAAAGATGAATGAGACATTAAAAGACGATGTGAAAATGAGCTTTGTATTTAAAATGATGACGTCATTGGCTTTGTGACTTTTGGTATTTAAAATCTATTGCTTGTTGATTTTGAGACATCAGCTTCTGATAGGATCTGGAACATCGTGAGCATTGTGCGAATCCTTGTTATATTGACGACAATCTATTATTAAAATGATTGAGATATGGGTTTCTGATGGGAATTGAACCCATGTTCTCACAAAAGAGGGTTTCAGATATTGCCTAACTACTCAGCCACAGAAACCTTGCTCTCGCACTGGCTGATTTGGTTATATATGGCTTCATATCTTAGATTCTACTCTTTTCCGGCACCAGAATTGTGGAAACTTAAGTTTTTTCGTAAAAATCATGAGACATCAATTAACATTTCAAGTATTTACGCGCCAATTCTACCAAACATGCCCTTTAGAAAAGTCAAAATAAAAGTTATTTTATCAACAATTTTTTAATTAAAGATAAACACTTTTAATGCCAAGATAAATTATTTTTATCATTGAGGATTATTATTTATTTTAGAACTCTTGATAAAATTCAATAAAATTTAAATTTATTAAAATTAGAATAAAATTCTTATTTTAAAAATCAACATTTTGAAAAGGTCTGTGCAGTAGCGTAGCCTGGGAACAGCATAACTCCCAAGATCTTCTCTTCTCCTTCCAATTTATACCACAATTATTGTATTCAAATTTCCGTATTTTAAGCAGCACTTCTTATGAAATGTGGAATTTTCAATAAAATTCACCTCAGTGATATTAATTTTTTCTTTCATTCTATCTAATCAGGCTGACTTTAATGGACTTACCTCCTTATCAAGGTGATAGAATATCTCACGATAAAGTAAAAATTGTATAAAATAAAGAACTTGAAAAATTTCTCGAAACATTTTCTGTGCAATTTTTGACTCGAGATGTTGTTAAAGTTTGTAGTTTTTGCTTCAGCTCTCATTGCAGCTGTGAATTGTGATTCACGTATCATATTTCGCTACTACACAGAGTAAGTAGTTTAAAATTGAATTTAAAAAAACAAAAGTTTCAAGTTTAAATGAAAATAAATTTGTTGTGTCAATTTTATTGCAGTGGGATATCCTTTGTAGAGTACAACACGAATACATTTCCACAAGTTTTGAGCCACCCAAGTTTCGTTCGTACCAGAGAAACAGTCTTTTATCACTACAGCAATGGTGAGAGCTTAGCTACACCGCAAGTTAATGACATTGTTATATCCTACGCTTCCATACAGCGAGCCAACTTTATTGTGATCTGGTATCAGGATAATAATGTTGTGTCTACTGGAGTAAGTGAAGATTTAGGAGCTTTATTTGAACTTCCTTGTTTTGCTTGATTAAAATATTCAATCAACAAATATTTCTATTATGTCCACAGAATGCAATCGCTTTAGCAGCTGGACTTTCTCAAACTCTCATCAATTTTTGTGAATTCGGCTACAATTCAGCACTCATCAACTTAATTGGTGGTGGACTTGGAGCACAAATTCTCGCTCGAGCCTCACGAGGTGTTCAAGAGAATTCAAACCGTCGACATATCGTTGGTCGATTGACAGGATTAGATCCACAAAGTATGGGAGCAATCAGTGTCATTCAAATCGGACGATTAAGTCCTGCTGATGCACAGTGGGTGGAAACAATTCATACAGATGGAACATCTCTTGGTGATCATGAGGCTCGTGGGCATGTTCACTTCTTTGTTAATGGCGGAACTACTCAACCGATGTGCACACAAACACTTGCTGGTGCTAGAGCACAGTGCAGTTATGAAATGGCTATGACATATTGGGCTGAATCTGTTCGTTCGATTACTCCAATTTTCCCATCATTGTATTGCGATTCATGGTCAGCATTTATATCCTCACAGTGCAATAGCAACACGATTGCTAATATGGGAAGATCAAACTCGGCTACTAATTTAAGAGGATCATATATGTTGAGGACTAACAACCAGGCACCGTTCTCAAGAAATCAAGCAACACCTTAAACATTTACCTATGAGTTGTGGATGTCAATAAAAAATTAATTCACAAACTTATCTAATCTTTCATGGGTACTTAATGATTATTTTTGGGAATCAAGATTATTAAGTGAAAATCTCTTTCCTTACGATAACATTCTGATCGGATGACTGCACAAAAATAGAAAATTGTCGGAAAAATACATTTTTTTCTATAGCTTCTCATGATTGCAATTTAAAGTTTTACTGCGTAGGATAAATATGTCCATGAGATACTCAAATTAGTCAAAGATATATAGCATGTAAGTAGTTTGTTATTTACCTTGGAAGTTCATGTAAGTTGGTGATATTTGAAAAGTTAATAGAGCATAGAAAACAATATGTTGAATGTAAACATCTGAGATTAGTGGTTGAAAGCTACTGAGAAGGAATTTAAAGCTTGTTGACTTTGCGAAGATATTTATTTTATCAAGAAAGTAATGGCTGTAGAATTTTGTTGCTGTTTGGATTGATTGGACGTTTTGTATCTATTGTGCTTGGCTCAAAAAGTATTCAATTGTACTAAAATTATGTGACAAGGAATCGAACATATGAATATAAAAACTTTAGGTCGACGCTCTAGCAAATCCACCACAGATACCATTTTATGTATATCCTTACAACAACATGACTTTAATAAACACAATCCACAAGTGTTGAAGATGAATTTAATTTAAATTTCAAGTGCACATTCAAAGAATTCTGAAGCACATAGCGCAAGTATGGACATTTAAAAATGAGAGTTTCCATTAACATTGAGAATCGGAATTCATTATCGCCTGCAGTATTTCACATACATAAAGTCAACATGGATGTTATTCCTTATAAAAAAAATTCCAACAAAAATATGACGAAAAATCATCAAAAAAGTTGTTGCTGCTATTAGTGATAGTCGAGGGAATCTAGAATGATTATAAAGAACGAGAAGCTCTTGTCCATTTGATATTCATTGCTATTATTATTCTTAGGTATATGAATATTCGAGCACATGAATAAAATCTGAAGCTTTACAATATCAAAAGATTGAAAAATAGGAAAAAGGATAACAATGATAAAAATGTTAATGGTTGGCTTGATAAGGAGAAAATTTCTTTATTACGTGGCTTGTTTCTTTTGTTGCATTGGAAGTGAGTCAAGGTCATCTAACTGCAATAACAAAATATAATTATGGATTCTGCAAGACATCATCCTTGAATATGGTTTAATTTAAATGAAAAAACTTGAAGTAATTGTTTTATGTCATTTAATAAAGTATTTAAATTTCAAGGGAATGTTTATAAAGTACGTTATGCACTTAGAAAGTAATGCGGGATTCATACCCTATCAAGTAGGTCTTAGAATGCGTGACTAATCCGAATTTGTCAAATTATGTGACAAATTGAGGAGGGGATAAGCAAAAACTATTCATTACGTCATTTGTGGATCTCTGCATCAAAACCTACTTTCAAATTTCCAAGAAAGTTACCATCCCTTGGATTCCTTTTATTTTCTTAATTCCTTCAAGTACGGTCCGCATCTAGATGCTCAAATTTTAATAACAACTTTTTCTTATCATATTTACAATCAGCTTTTCAATCATCGTCATCATGAATCACAGTCAATATACTCATCCGCATCTTAAGTGGTAAAATTTGTGTCCTTTCATAAGATCATAGTAAATACACGCATAATAATGTAGAAAGTACTAGATGATATTGCAAGGAAGTGCCTCGTTCAACAAAAAGTATCGACCTTTTTCAAAGTTTTCTCCATTTTGCTTCCTTTTATTGTGAAGCTTCATGATTCTCTGTTGAGTATCATTGACTTTATTTTAAGGACTTTTGAATTAAATAATGAAATATGTTTTGTCCACTCAGCATTTTGTTACACTGTAAGATTTTTTTTCGATCTTTTGTAAGTTTATGGAATTGATGAAAGCTACATGAGCAGGAAATGCTTTGGATTGGCTCTTATAAATGAGGAATAAGTTGAAGACTTTCTATGGAAACGACTGAAAATTACTTGATTTTGAGGTTAATTAAGCAATAATGATTGAGAGATAGATCAGATAATTGGGATATGATTGCAATTGATATGAGCGTGACGCTAAGGATTAGCTTAATTGTAGCTAATTAGTTTAGATCTAAGGATTTGAATTGACAACCTTTAATTTTGCAAGATTTACATAAACCGAATTGCCATAACAAGAACAGCGAAAAAGTACCCAAATCCGACTAGAAATTCCCTGGGATCGAACCAGGGTCGTTAAGGTTGGTTAACCAAGACTCAAACCAATACGCTACTACTGCCTTTTCGCTGCTTTATCGTCAGTTCACTAATTTAAGTATTAAACTTCCAGAAATTCTTTTTCAAGATAAGCAATTGCTATTATTCCGAAGCCTACATACATGTCTTATCCATTGTCTAGAAATTTATTCAAAATTCAAATTTTTAAAATTTAACTATCAAATCATTCCAAAACAAATAATGAGGAAAGTTGTGCAAATAAAACTCCTTCAAAACTCATGCAATTCAAAAGATATTATTCATTAAAATTTCCAGAACAAGGAGTTAAGAAAAATAATAGAAATGAGCAATTCCAATAATCATTTGAATGTATAAAATATTTTATTCATAAACTACCTCATACATGTGTTTATTCAACATCAAGATTCAAAATGAGTTTTGACTGATGTGGATGACACGTGGATTATATTAATTTGATATTGATGCTTATAAACTCTCATCAATGTGATCTGATGAAGCAAAGATGTAAGGGATCATTCACTTATGACGTCTGAAATTAACGGTCATTTCAAAAAAGAACAATAAACTTCCAGTAAGTTCTATTGTTTTTCTTGCAGACCCCCCCCCCCCCCCCCCCCCCTACTGGACGTCATAAGTGAACGGCCTCTAACAGACTTATCGAGAAATATTAATGATTTTTGTAAAGTGTGAATATTTTTGGAGTTTAGATCCTTTGATGTCTAGTGACATTTTGAATCTGTATTTAATGATGTGTGAAATTGATGAATTATCTTTAATCAATGAAGAGAGTTGGTGTCTTTGAAAATATTACAGTTGATTTGTATATTCTGGGAATCAAGAAGTTTGACATTTTAACTTTTTTACAAAGATAAAGAGAAAGATCCAAGGGCGTAGTCATGGAAGAATTTAGTGTGGGTTTTGGAATTTTTTTCTAAAAAAACGGAAAATTTTAAAAAAATCTAATAGGTCTGGTGGGGGTAGGGTGGTCGTGTCAGGCTACGCTGCTTAAGATAAAGCATCAATTTTAATGTTCTTAAGATATAGCACCGGAGCAGTTTCAACAGCGTTACAAAAATTTTACTGTGTAAATGAGAATGTCATTGAAAAATTTCAATGGTGGGGGGGGGGGGGGGTTGGTCTTTGTGTCATACCTTAGAACAGTACACCTAAAAACTTTAGGATTGTTCCTTAAGATAGACTTGTAGAAGCTTAGTAAGGCTATCATCAGGATATATCCTCATCATACATTATGCCATTGAGTTTCAACATGTTAAAGGTGTCCATTAAACATTTCACAATTGCAGCTACTTACATAAATACATACATACATACCACCTCAGTCTTATATAAATAACAATCCTAGTAAGTTGTAACATTTCCACGAGAATTATTATAATAAATTCATGATGTACACCTGCCACTAAATTATATTCGTTTAAAAATGTCGTGCATGCCTTTGACAAATGACATCTTTATCTTCAAACCATTGAAAGTGATCTAATCATTGCTACCCCCACTCAATAAAGTATCACGTATTATCTCGCTGAGCCAAGTGATTGATAGTTACACTCCATATTACGTAAAGAAGCTGAATAAGTCACGTGTATGAACTTTTACCATTAGAAATGTGGTTAAACGGAAAAAGAAAAGAAAAGAAGCTCTTTTGCGTCTGTTGGCAAAAACAAGCCACACAAATTTCGCATTTAAAATAAAAAAAAAATTGTGCAACAATTGAGATGAAGGAAAGTCAACTACGTTGGTTTAAGCAGAGTAAAAATGTGACGAATGGAACTCATGTTATCACGTTGCATGTGCCGGCTTCCAACGTGTACAGAAAAGAAAAGTTTTTATAATACTTCCATTTCAATCCCATCCTACCCCTCACTCTATTTATGATTACGAAAACTGACATTTATTATTCAAAATTATGTCAGCACCGCTGGTGATTTTATGTTTGAACAGTTTATGCAATTAAAATAATTTTCATTCTGCCTTGTAATTAAATTCAAACAATGATAAAATAGTAAATAACGAAAATTTGCTTTTGCCAGATTTAATTAGTTGGAAAATGTTGTTATCAAGGTTTGATGTGAGTGACAAGCTACTGTTTACTATCGTACTCCATAAACAAATAAATTACAACTTGAAATTTACAGAACATTAAAAAAATTTACTTGAACAGACAAAAAACGTGAATGTAGATTAAAAGGAAGCTGTGGAAAATGAAGGATATAGTTGATGTACTTATATCTTGGGAAGGATTTACTAAGTGCTAGAGCTAAAAGTTGACACTGTTGACTAAAATGGAGTTGAATCATTTAATTTTGAGTTGATTACTCGTCGACTTAGTCTAATTAGTTCCCGATTGGCACACATTGAAATGTTTGTCACCCGTCAGCTGAGTTGATTGCATAATTAGAACTAAGCGGCACCAGCTTGAAAGCCATTTCCAATTGGACATCAAATGGTTGCCACGTGACTGCCGCTTGATTCTAATTATGCTATCAACCTGGCTCTCGGATGGCAAATATTTCAATGAATAACAATGTGTGCCGATCGGGGTTTCTTTAGAGTTGACTAGAGTTGACTGTGTTTGTTATATGAGATCGAGAAATTGAGTTGACTCGAGAAGACAGGAAATGCAAATTTAGATAAAATTCAAAGCTTTCAAATTGTAATCTCAAAAGTAGAAAGTCGTGGAATTGTAGCTAACATTAACCATTATAAGAGCACATTAATGAAGATTTATTGGTTTTCAGCAATGGCCATAATTTGACAGTCAATCATAAATTTCATGTGACTCTACATTAAACTTTCCTTCCTAGAAGATTGCATTATCTAATAGAGCATTTATTATTTCTCAGAAAATGAGTTGCATCTCCATAAATTCCAACAACATTCATCGTATTT